AATTAGGAATACGCAGAGAGGCAGGGAGAGCCAGAGAATAAGAGACAGGATTAATCCTACGCATAACTGACAAGGGACCAATAAACATGGGTGCAAACTTCATACTAGGGACTTTGAGTTTAATATTCCTTGTGGAGACCACAAACAGGGTTGGCACCCCTCCTCTTATCAGCTTGCAGTTTGAAACGAGCCATAGCTGTTTCCAAAGCCATGTGGACCTTAGTCCATGTGTCACGAATACATGTGAGATGGTCATCCAGAGTGGGAATAGCAGTGTCAGAGAACACCGCAGGGAGGACAGTAGGATGACAACCAGATGAGTCATGGGTAGCATTATTTCTGGCAAATTCAGCCCACTGTAACAAATCGGACCAGTTTTCCTGAGTGCCATTAATAAAACATCTCAAATATTGTTCCAACGATTGATTGGCTTGCACAGCCGCACCATTGGTTTGAGGATGGTATGAAGATGAAATCGATAATTCTATACCCAACTGTTTCGAAAATGTTCTCCAAAATCATGACACAAATTGGGAACCCCTATCTGACACAATATGTAGCGGAATACCATGTAATCTGACTATTGCGCATATAAATATATGAGCAAGCTCTTGGGAAGAAGGTATCTTTTTGAGTGGAACAAAGTGTGCCATTTTAGAAAAGCGGTCAACAATCATTAGGATGGTGTTATAGCCTTTAGAATTTGAGAGCTCCACAATAAAGTCCATAGACAAGTGAGACCATGGGGCACTGGGTATAGGGAGCGGTTGCAATAACGCACAAGGTACTTATGGGGAACCTTAGAAACTCCACAAATAGCACACGCCTCCACATACTCTCTGATGTCCTCTCTAAGAGATGGCCACCAAAATTATCTAGAGACAGCGGACATTGTTTTATTAATACCTGGATGTCCAGTTGTCACATTATCGTGAAGCACTCTTAGTACCTACTTTTTTTCCAGCAACAGAATAAACAACCTATCTCGAGGTTTATCACTATGTGCTTGGGTCAGGGCTGCCATTATAGCATTAAGGAGAAGACAAGGAAAGAACCGTGGAAGCAGTGATACATTCAGGTGGTATAATGGGACAGGTCTCTTGTTCTTGTTCTGCCTCTAGGCCAAATTGCCTAGATAGGGCGTCAGCCTTAATGTTGTTAGGACCTGGTCTCTACGTGATAATAAAGTTAAAGCGTGACAAGAACAATAACCATCTAGCTTGTCTAGACAGCCTTTTAGCATCACCAATGTATGCCAAGTTTTTGTGATCCGTTATGATCCTTTGGGATCCCTGGAATCTTCTAAAAAAATTGCCATTTCTTCAGAGCTAGGATAATGGCTAACAATTCTCTGTTACCAATACGTTCTGCAGGCGACAACTTTCTAGAAAAGAACCCACAAGGATGCAAAGGGTTATCCTGACTCTCCCTCTGAGAAAGAACAGCCTCTACCCCTGTCTCAGAGACATCTACCTCTAGTATGAAGGGCTTGCTAGTGTCAGGGTGTACCAATATGTCAGCAGAAGTGAATAATTTCTTAAGTAGCTCAAAAGCTTCTTTAGACCATATATTAGAGTTAACCCCCTTACGTGTCAGATTGGTGAAGGGGGCTATCAAAGTAGAGAAACCTGTGATGAATCACCTATAGTAATTTGCAAACCCAGTAAACCTTTGAATGGATTTTAACCCATTGGGTAATGGCCAATGTAGAACGGCTTCTAGTTTACGTGGGTCCATCTGAAAACCAGAGGCCAAGAAATTATAGCCCAAGAACTGAACTTCCGTCTGGTCAAATAGACATTTGTCAATTTTGCAATATAGCCAGTTTTCAGCAAAGTTTGCAACACGTGTTTAACATGCCGATGATGTGTCTGGATATCGGGGGAATAAATGAGTATATCATTCAGATATACCAATACGAAAGAATAAATGTAGTCTCTGAGAACACCATAAGTGAGATCCTGAAATACGGCTGGGGCATTGCATAAGCCGAAGGGCATGACAAGATACTCATGTTGACCATATCTCATGTTAAATGCAGTTCTCCATTCATGTCCCTCCTTAATCGTTACCAAATTATAAGCACTAGTAAGGTCGAGTTTGGTAAACACCTTAGCGCCCTGGAGTCTGTCAAATAATTAAGGGGAATGGGACAAGCATTTTTGATGGTGATCTTGTTCAATAATCAATACATGGCCATAACTCTTTTCCTTTCTTGGTAACAATAATGAACCCTGCACCTGCAGGAGAAGAAGATTTACGTATGTGGCCTTTTTGTAGGTACTCTTCAATATATTCTTCCATAACTCTACTCTCCTGTGGTGATAAGGTATATACTCCCCCTTTATGAGGTATAGTACCAGGTAACAGATCTATGGAGCAATCATAGGATCTGTGAGGGGGTAGCATATCAGTGGGACTTTTATTAAACACTTCTTTAACCTCCCTATAATGCACAGGAATTTCAGTAGACTGAGGCGTAGGTGTAGGTAGATTAATTATACCCACTCTTTTAGTAATAGGTGACATACATCTCTCTTTACATTCTTTACCCCATTGCAGTATTTCCCCTTCAGCCCAATCAACACAGGGGTTATGCTTAACAAGCCATGGGAATCCAACTATAATGGGACAAGAAGGGGAAGCAATTATCTGAAATGTGAGTTCTTTGTGTAACACTCCTATAGTGGTAGTGATAGCTAGTGTTTCGTGGGTAATTAAAGGCTGAGAGAGTGGTCTCCCATCAATGGCCTTGATGGTCTCCCATCAATGATGCTCTCTCCTTGATGGGTAGGAAGTGTTTACTGGCAAATTGTATATCGATAAAGTCTTCTGCAGCACCTGAGTCAATCAGGGCGTTACACGTAAAACTTATCTCATAATATTGAACAGCAACACTGCCAAATCCTGTAGATTCCATCTTAAAAACATAGCCTGCATCCACCCCTTTTTTACGCAAGACGCTACCAAGGAGCTTGTCCATGATCTAGTAATCTTGTGCATGGATTATTGTAACCCTCTCCTAAACTGGTCCTCCCAAAAGCCGTATTGCCCCGCTACAGTAGTCTGTAATGAATTCTGCCGCCAGACTGATTTTCCTCTCTAGTCAGTTCTCTCACACCTCACCCCTCTGTCAGTCCTTACGTTCCTGTATCCTATAGAATACAATTCAAAGTGCTAACCCATACCTATAAAGAACTGAACAATTCTAGCCCCTCTTATATCTCTTCACAGATACATATGTATGTCCGTTCTTGATCTCTCCGCTCTGCCCATGACCTTCTCCTGTCAGCTGCTCACAATCGTATGGCCAAATCATGCTTGCAGGACGTCTCGCGAGCGGCTCCCTTACTATGGAATAGCCTGCCTACCGCCATCAGACTTTACCCTAGTCTTGCATCTTTTGAGAAGTGCCTTAAAATAATAAAAATATTCCGCTATACAGCCAAGGTTGGGATAGTCCCTTGGGGCTGAGTAGGAGTATATGAACACCAATGGGGATAATGGGTAAATGACAGAGTGGGTAAGTGTGGGTATGACTAGGTATGTGATTGGGTGGATGAATGTGACAGGGTTGCCAAATAAATGTTATTCACTGTGTGGATGAATGTGACTGGGCATGGCTGAATCTCACTGGGGGTACGTGACCATGTGCATGGCTGGGTAAATGTGACTAAGTGACAGCATGTAACAGGTTGGGAGTATGTGATAGGGTCAGTTGAGAGAAACAGGGTGGATTCACATCACATATGCCACATATGCTGTTAACAAGCTAGTTTTGTAGGTAGTTGTTCTTTTGCAATTGTGCAATGGCAAGTGTTTCTTTCTCAAGCAACAAAATAAAAACAGTTAATTTGTTGCTCATGTCAAATGTCAACTACTCAATGGAGCACTCCATACATTGTAACCACTTTATCTCTTTGTGGTTATGATGGCTGGAGTGTCCTGGCACTGTCCTTCAGTTCACTCTTTAACCAATTAATTACAGATTAACTGTGAACTAGGGTCCCCATCATCCTGTGGTGTCTCTTCTGCTCGAACTAACCCTTCTTTGCTTAATGGCGATGGAGGGCAGTGCTAAACATGAGTGCATCACTTGAGCACTCTCATTCTATAACTGTATCCCATTGCACGTATTGATATGGGCCATACCAATCTATATGTACCATCAGCAGCAGCAACAGGATGAGAGAGCTCGAGTGATGCTCTCAGCCTATGACCGCCTCAATCACTCACAGCTTATCACTTCAGAAAATCAATGAATGTGGGTAGGAAAAGATAGATGAAATAAGGAAGGGCAGACAGAATGAGAAGGGGAGAATGCAGATGGAACGACGAGGAGAGAAGAACGATGGGTGAGGAGGGATGATGGACTGAGGTGGGAGATGGAATTAGAGCAACAGATCAGCCGAGGGGGTATGGAGAGAGAGAAAGAAAAGGGAGAAAGGTGAAGCTGGTGGAAAGTGGATTACATAAGTCTGGCAGAGAATACGTTTGGCCACAGAAAGAAGATGTTTGATGCAATGGTGAGTAAGATTTATAGTACAATATATATAATTAGATTAAGGAGAGAATAGGCATAGAGTATGTAGCAAATAATAACAATGACCCAAAGATAACTTACTTGTGCGCTATCCCCAATCCATATGCACATTGAAATAACAAAGGATTGCAATGGTCATTAAAGTGCAAGTCCACCTTCTAATGTCAAGGCAAACCTCTTAGCTGAGTCCTCTGCTATCAAGAAACCTCAATTTGTTTCATCAAACATTAAAGAGGTCATTACATGACTTATACTGAGGGTATGGTGCCCTGTTGATAATCAAGTTAGAGGTGTCAACGAATGGCAGAACCAGACCTAAATATTATTTCATCTTATCTTTTTGTAATACTATTAAAGTGCTTTTACATTTACATATAATACTCGACTACTTCCTCCTTTATTAGAAGAACTTAGAGTAGATGTAGAAAGTTTTTTTTTAAAATGAAGCAGTCACAGATAATGCCATTTACACGAGGTGCAGGTTTATATGTTTATTGAAATCATGCTGCTTTCACTAAACGACAGGATAAGAAGATGCGACATATCTTTTGCCACTTCCATAGGTTGAATTGGCCCAGGTGTAGGTTTGAATTTGCAGTGTTTTGCCACCCAGGCTGACAGTGCACCTAGAACAAAAAATATCATTAGTCACAGAGGGAAAAATAGGAAAAAAGGAATCATTAGAGATGCCATAACACCTTTTAAAAAACAGAAATAATGTCAGAAGAAAACTCATATTGGCCAGAAAAAATTTAATATATTCTTCATCCACTTTTGAAGCATACCTTTAGCTTTAAAGACATTGAATTACCAGTAATCCGTTTTAAATTGTCATTCAGTGTTGAGTAAATTGTGATAAATTGCAACAAGTAACAAAATGTTGTTCTTGGCCTGAATTGTCTAAATCATATGAGCCCAGCATTGAAACATTAGTGAAGAATCCTGTATATGTTCATAGGTATGCAATGACCAACATATTACTAGTTTGAAACCGGAAGTACTTACAAACCATCAGGACGGGTTACATAGCAGAGAGTGTAGATTGCCAACTCAAACTCTGGACTGCTTCCAATGAACATGGAGCTCAGGGTTTTTAGATAGGAAGACCATCTGATTTGTAGTCCATATACATCAGGATAAGTGGTCCACTGAGAAAGATACAAAAACCATGAAATGTTAGGTTAAGATGTTTGAAATTGGAATGGTGAGGTATGCAGCAGACTACTTCCCCTCATTTCATGTCATATAACGGTGCGTGAGTGACATAGGGTGGCAACATATGAATGAGCCGGCATTCACATGTTGCCAGCCAGTCAACCAGGCACCCATACATGCACTTACTGCTATAAAAGGGACATTGGGAACATGCCAAGGGAGTTCTTGTATGGCACTAAACAAGCTCACAATGCACTTTTTAAACCAGAGTGACTTACTAGATATCAATTTCAGTTGCCAGCTTTTCATATGGGATCAGCAATAATACACTACATGATAGATTGAGCAGGGAGAAATTGTTGAAAAATCTTTATTCCTGCATTACTTTAACTTAAAAAGTGATTTCACATCATTTTACATCAGGGTTTGTACTTATCTTAATCCAGCATTGGACAAAGCTATCAGCACTGACCTTCCATGCCCGTCCTGATGTCACCCAGCACTTGCGCAGTTCTATCACAAGCTTCCTAAAGAGAAGCCTGTGATTGCCAGCTCAGAGCAAACGCATGCAAATATGCACAAAGTTGACATAAAGCAGCCTGGAACAGAGTTCTGGTCTGCCTATGTCACATGTGCTGAAAGTGCGACTAGCCCCTGGCACACAATTAATAAATAACTGTGGATGAGCAGTGTTTCAAGCAGAAACACTGCATACCTAGACTTCTACCACCATGACCACTTCAAATTACTAAGTGGTCATAGTGGTTGGAGTAACCCTTTAAATGTATATTTAGGATTTACCAGTTGACATCACAATGTAGGTTAGTCCTTACACCAGGGAACAAACTGCATTTATCAAAGTGTCGTGTTCGGCAAATTGAGCAAAATTAAAAAAGTAGGACAATCACAGCACACACATTCCACTGGTAATGCATCCTTATACATATTTGCAACACTTTCAGGAACACAACACTATCATAAATCTCTGCCATTGTTTCAGTTTATCCACCTCCACGTATTAGAGACAGAAAAAGGCAACACTTATAGCAGTGTTTAACAGGGTGTCAAGACTAAAGACAGAGCTATTTACAGAGATGTCCTTATTTGATTATTTTTAGACTGCAAAAACCTAATTTTTTAAAATATGAGAATAAGTAAAAAAATAATTTAAAATATCCTGGAAAGTGACATTTCCTATAGAATACATTAAACAGAGGATATCCAGAATCAACTGTGTCCTGGAAAATAATAGACATTTGAGAAATGAGTTAAGTTGAGTTTTGCATCCCAGGCCCTTTTCTAAACCTAGAACACAATTTGACATGCATACACTTCATTGCCACATTTTACTTTAAACTACACTCCATTTATGTCAGCAGCCTGCCTGATGTGCACTGGAAATGTTGTGTTTTTAGGTTTGACTTTAAAAAATGTTTTTAAGATTTCCACTGCTTAACCACAGGAAAGGAAATTATATATTACAATCATCCTCTATAGTACCTGGATGGTATAGCTGGGTCAGAAACCTAAAGAGAGTGAATATAATTCTGGATTGTTTGTCAACCCCCAAAATGTACTTACCGAGGATCTTATATTCAACTAAGAATTAGGTACTTGAGTGTGTTTTGCTAAATTCATGGACTCGCCACATAATGTTTAAGAATGATTTTCTGTAGAGTTTCCCCCAACATGAATTAGACTTTGACATCACTCTCATTTATCATGAATTCTTTCCATTCCAGAACTTTATACAGATAAGATGAAAAACTTAAGAGATTGTGCTAAAGTTATCCTGTTCATATTTTGAAACTCATATTATTGTAGTCCTGCACATAGCCATGACTACTCTAGTTTGGAATAGAAATGGATAGAAATACATATTACGTAATGTATATAAACACCACTGTGGAAAAAAGAGATCTATCTCGTCCACCACAATTAACAATAAGTGAGAGAAATAGCTTCACCACTTCGTCAAGGGGTTTGAGCCCTATAATTGTACAACCACACTAAATCTAGTGTGGTGAGAGCACTCTAAAATGTAACTTTTATTGATAAATGTTATAACGTCCCATAGCGGGATCTAAAGGCATAGTCTGAATATAAAATAGAAAGATATATATATATATATATACATAGAAATATATTTTCCCACTAGGAAAGCTGCAGAATATACGCGGTCCAGAGTGAAACGTGCGGTGAGTGCATAGTCTGGCGCTTTTCTAGTTTTATACTTATGATTTATATCTAACTTTACTACTCCCCCCTCCTGGGGCTCCATTAGGATTATCATTTAGCTGACTTGTGTACTTATTCTCACATTGGATCTCTCTAAGGACTAGCTGTATTTGGGGACGATGGTATTTCAATAATTTGTACATATTCTTTAAGTTTGAATTGGAAACATGGAGAGGACATGTGCCGGTTGTTAACTTTGTAGGGATTAGACATCTATATTTAGACAAGACTAGGGATCAACCGTTGCATGCACCCTCGCTGTCTATCACACTTATGTATACACAGATATCAGTCTGCAAGTCTAACTACCTTTGCCTATACCACTATTACCCTAAGGCAAATATCTAACTCGCTGGACAAATCACCATTAGTTTTTCTTATAGAGCTATGTGATACATAGTAGCAACAGTTATTCCTGCAGCGCATAGTGATATATTTGATACTTTACTATCCCCTATCTTAACCAAAAGATATCTATTCCTACCTTTCCTTAATAACCATTGATACCTTCCGTATCCCACCTACTCATAGAGATACTTAGATTTTTAACAAATATCTTTCTATCATATATATTTTATATGTATGTATGTATGTATGTATGTATGTATGTATGTGTGTGTGTGTATGTATGTATGTGTATATATATATATATATATATATATATATATATATATATATATATATATATATATATATATATATATATATCCTCCAAGAAATGTGCAGCTGAGCACCAGGCCAAAACTTAAAGGAGAGCTGGAGTGCAAAACTTCCATCAAACTATATATATATATATCTTTCTATTTTATATTCAGACTATTTAGATCTCTCTATGGGACGTTTGAACGTTTATCAATAAAAGTTATATTTTAGAGTGCTCTCACCACATTAGATTTAGTTTGGTTATACACCACCGTGCAAACTATATAGGCGGGTATTAAAATGATGTTAATATTTTATTTTTATCATCTAGCAAACTGCAAAGTTAGTGAGCAAAAGAAAAAAAACTCCTTGTTGTGTAAGATCCATTTAAAGGCACCCAAAAAACAATGCAACAATATTATGACAGACCCTGTCTTTAGCAAGCTTTATCAAGGAGTGCTGGACATATTTTGCCTTTTTATATCAGCTCACTATCGGCAGAAACAAGTGGGACCCTGTTGCACTCATCTACGTTCTGGAGAAGGCTGGCTAGAAATGGTGTTCATAGAAGACTTGCCCAAAAGTCATACCTACCATGCGGAAACAAGACCAAGTGACTTAACAAGGCCAAGTTACTCAATTATGCACTAAAACACAGGCACTAGGCAGCAGAAAATTGGCATCAAGTACACTTTACTCATTAGTCACAGTTTTAAATATTTGGAAGAAGGCAGTTTATATGCTAAAGGGATGGAGAGGAGTACACCGATGAGTGTCTACAGGCAATGGTGATGCATGGTGGAGATTCCTTGCAAGTCTGGGGCTGCACTGCTGCAAATGGACTTGGGAAATGTATCCATCGTGCAATACCATCATGGAGACATCTGATTGGTCCCAAATGGGCAGCATGACAATGACCCCAAACATACAGCCAAAGTCTTGGAAAATCTGACAAAGCCCCCACAAAGCCCTGATCTCAACATCATTCAGCCCACCTGGGATTACATGAAGAGGCAAAAGCAGATGAGGCTGCTAGAATCCACAGAAGAACTGTGACTGGTTCTCAAAGATATTTGGAATAACCTACCTGCCAAGTTCCTTACAAAACTATGAGCAAGTATATCTAGTAGAAATGATGCTCTTTTGAAGGCAGTGGGTGGTAAGGGCAAATATTGATTTGACTTAGATTTCACATCTGTTTTCACATCTGTATATATATATATATATATATATATATATATATATATATATATATCGTACCCTATTGTATCAATGCAATGTTTTGTGGACCCAGGACATACTTGAAAACAAGAGAAAATGTATCTTTCCTGGTCAAATATTTTATAAATAAATAATATATATATATATATATATATATATATATATATATATGTATATATAAACGTATAACATTATATAATAATCTTCAACTGTCATATACCCTTCTCTAGACAGAGCATCTATAAAAGCCACCTAACTTAATTAACTTACTGGTCCATCAACGCTGTAACTCAAATAGTTGAGTTGGCCTGATTTCTCCTCTAGATACAGTTTCACCCAGTTGTGGAATCCAGATATCTTCCCGTTATGGATCTCACCTGTTTAAAGACAACATCTATTTATTGCACCTCAGCTCAGTGCATTTCTGATAAAAGGACATCTACATGCTTATGGTTTCAAAATTTACATAATCAAAAATGTTTATGATACACTGCTGTGGCAGGAATACACTGAGCTTTTAACATCATATGATTAAACTATAAAAAAACTCAACATTCTGAGAGAGAAGGTCCTATAACCATCCTTGTGCTTCTCTCCCAGTTTCCAACTCTATTTCATTCTACAGGTTTATAATAAGCCAATCCCTGCAATATGTGGGCCTAGGCTTTATGGACTGTGCTGTATATAGTGGCATCCTTCACAGTCCAATGCTTGTATGCAACCTCCCCATTATGGCGTTATTTTCCAGAGTTCTGTGCTTTTATTTGACCATGGCACTGACTGAGATAAAGCCCTAACAAAGATTTGTACTTCTGCAAGCATAGGTCTTGGTTCCATCGCAATATCACCAGGCATGAGTTCTTCAACACATCACCTCCCCCATCTCCACAATCACTTTGATCTACTTGATACCAGGTATATATGAATTAGTCTCAGAAATCAGTTAAACTATCTGAGATATTATCACTGCTTGCAGACTGATCTCTGAGCATGCTGACCCTGTCGATATCACTAGTACAGATATAGCAGTTGTATTTCCTTACCATGGAAAGCGTGTTCAAAACCAGAAGAATCCAATGGGCCCTTGGTACGGGTGTAAAGACCAAACCACATCTCCTTTAGGTCAGACTTAAAGCTAGCTGCTGATGTATAGTAACCTGTTCATGGAAAGGTATACAACACACAAACCATTCAATAGACAGCATTAATTATTTTCTCAGTGAATTAAACCCACTTTTAATGCAAACCAACATGTCTACACAAACAACTAATACTAACTGTGTTAGTAACACACACACATTGTGACTCAAGCACACGCTGAAAGTTACACACATTAATCCCTATTTACTGAAAGCATATGAAAACACATCTGTGGTGGAACCACCGCTTGTTCGGGTGCTTTCTACTTATACTGTGTGTTTTTCCCCTTGCCCTTCTTCTATTGTACCTGCTCCTCATTCGGGAGTGCCCCTACGAAAGGAACTCCTTTAACCCCTTAAGGACACATGACATGTGTGACATGTCATGATTCCCATTTATTCCAGACGTTTGGTCCTTAAGGGGTTAACTCCCGAGTGAGGACCACCCCGATATCCCATTTAGAACACTTGTAGAACGTTCAAGTAAAACATTCTCACCTCTGGCGTGGTTGCAAAACCACAAGGGAAGCAATTAATGAGTGCTCCCCTGGGTGGCCACCATTTCGTATAAATGAACGCCAGCCAGGGGGAGCATTCGTGGATTGCTTCCTGACTCGTTCGTCTCCCAAATGAGCACCACCCCAGTGCCCATTAGAACGCTCCAACCAATTAACTGGGCCGCTATTTCATATAGATGAACGCCAACCAGAGGGAGCATTTGTATCCTGAAAGGAGACAATTCCCTTGGAGGTTTCAGCACAGGAATCTCATGGACAGAGCAATAGCTGCCCAGTCACTAGTAGTTTTAAATGACGCTAGTAGTTTTAAATGCCACAAGTAGATGCATGCGGGATGATTTAACCTCCCTTTTATTAATATGGGGGTCAAAGTGACCCCCATAGGTTAATGCGGGGGGGGGAGGGGGAACGAATGATTAATGTTACAAGGAGGGAGCTGGTAGCACTGCCGGCACCCTCCTTGTTTGTTTGTTTTTGTGCATGCGCAGTGCTGTTTTCATCCAAATGGATGAAAACAAATTATTTTGTCCGAATGGTTTGCGGACGAAATTCGTGATTGATAAATGAGATTTTTATTTAGTACAAAATCATTCGTAAGAAACGAAAATTTAATTGGTGCACAATTCTATTATGTACAATGGCATGAGCACTTCTCTCTTTCTACTGCTAATACCTCTCTCTATACAACTAAGCATTTCCTGCTGCTCTATTACATTGTCTGCCCACGCATCTGAAATAATTACCCCTAAATGCCATTCCTGAGGTGTTGAGGTTAGCACTGTATCAAATATTCTGTACTCTGCCCTTGGGTTTTTACGCCCAAGATGCATTATTTTGCACATAGCCACATTAAATGTCAGTTGGCCATTTGCTTTATCCCTCCTGGAACATCAACCCTGTTGCATATGAGGTATTCAGATACTTGGGACAAAACAAGATAGTAAGTGAAGAATAAAATACTGCTCAAGCTTAAGCAGAGCCGGACTAGAAAAATAATTCAGCCCAGGCATTTTTTTAATCACAGTGGCCCAGTGAGAAGGGTGTCAGGGTCAGATAGGGCGTGTTTTGTCATAACCTATAACAAGCACTCCCCTCTTAAAGTTAGCATATCAGTTCAATGCTCTTCCAGCACACCCCTTGTGCAGAACCCCACTGAAGAGCTTTCATATGAGAAAATGTGCAGTGTATGTGTGTGTGTTGCAACGTGTGTGTGAGGGGTGCAGTGTGAGAGGTGTTCCACATGTTCTGTTAATGCAATTTATGGATTTTGGTTTACCTTTGGAGATGAAGAAAGAGCTTAGCTTGGATATGACAGTGGTTTTGAAGACCTCATCTAAGAATGCTGTTTGTTCCTGCACTTCTGCTGTGGGCACTGACTCTGCAGTTCCTGTTATCGTTATATAATTGTCAAGCAAAGCTTTGAATCTGGCAAAGGTTGGGCGGGCAAACAGTTTGGCTTCATTCACATAGCTAAAAAGCCTAAAAAGAATACATGTTTAATTAAAAATGAACATCAAAACTCACATTAGATGTATGTACAGCCCAGAACTATACAATTGGTTCTATGAAAATTCCAAATCTAGGAATGGACAACTTATTTAAGTGGTTGTAGTTGCTGGAGTCCCCTGATGCTATTCTTCCATTCAGTGTTAAACCATTTTTAATGTTCTAATTCAAAACAGAGTCCTGAGCAGCCAATACACCTTGTGCTGGCTGGACTAAATAGGAAGCATTAGCCTGATCAGCAATGGATAGTTTTAGTTGATCACTTTCAGCCTACCACAGCTCCCATTACTTGTATGAATTGGTGTGGTTAGAAGGCCTTTGCTTGAAAATGGTTTAATACTAAATTAAGGTGCCGGAGGACCCCAGGCACAATAAACAATTCAAAAAGATGAAATTGCATTTGGAATGTTACATATCCAAGTCAGTGAACACAGATAATGTTATAAATTCATTTGTTAAATAGCAAGCAGATGTCAGAGTACCTACCTGTTCCGAAACTGTCAGAACTTTTTCTAACATGGTCCGATTGCAATGGAGACAGCAAAGCTTACAACTACCCAAAGTGAAATTTCTCCATATATAGGCATTGATGAGGCGGCTGTTGCCATGTCATTGTTTTATTTAGCTCGAAAATACTGTGTGTTTTTTTGGGGTGACCTTGGCTAGAGTTTTGACTTTGCTGTTCCCTATATTCCTTACCAAACTGAGTTATTGCTTCTGCTAACTTGCATGCAAGTACCTTTCTCTCCAGATGACTCCTCTCTTCCGGTCGGGAGGTCTAATTAAAGGGATACCATAGGCATAAAACCAACCCTAGCTTAATGAAGTATAGATCATGACCCTGCAGTCTCATTGCTCAATTATCTGCCACTTAGCAGTTAAATCCCTTTTTTTCTACCTATACAGCACTTGTCACACCTCCCCTGGCTGTAAAACACATGACCTGCATGAAAAAAAAATTGTTTAACTTTCCATTAGATGTTTACATATTTTAGGAGTTTTTATCTCCTGCTCTATAAATTGGACTTCAATCACACACAGGAGGCTCCAGCAGTGTCTCAAATGCTATTAACAGTGCAGGAGATAAGTAAGTCTAACTTGTAAACATCTCTTTACAGGAAGTGTTTAAGAAGGGAGGTGTGACATGTGCTGCATAAACAAAGTGATTTAACTCCTAAATTTTAGAGAATTGAGCAGTGAGATGCAGGGACATGATCTATACACCAAAATTGCTTCATCAAGCTAACATTGTTTGGGTGCCTAGAGTGTCCCTTTAGGAATGGCGTTCTCAAAGGGCCTGTAATACTGTCTGTTAGTTTTTCTCTTTTTACTTTTTTCACAACTTTTGACCTATATTAATGCCTGAATGCCCCTTAAGGGGAAGATTTAGCCCCTTCTGGTCTATGAAAGAATATAGCAACAATAATATCAAGAAGGGTTTCACCCTATCGTCCTGGTGGCGGTATGTTTCTTTGTGTGACCAAGAAGGAGGAATATCTTGGGCCATGCACTACTTACCAGGATTTTCAACACATTACCAATTTCAATGCCTATCCAGTACCCTTCAAAACCACAACTACTAATTGTTTAAAGGGATTAGGCAAAGTGCTACTAGCACACTTGGGTTGTGCTTTATTTTTAGGAGTGCCTGTCCATTGTTTTTAGGTTTAATTTGTTGAATTAAATAACACACTATATGTTTTTTCTCTCTCTGTTACGATTATTATTATTATTATGATATTTATAGAGCGCCGTCAAATTCCGCAGCGCTTTACAATGGGTGGACGAACAGACATGTAGTTGTAACCAGACAAGTTGGACACACAGGAACAGAGGGGTTGAGGGCCCTGCTCAATGAGCTTATATGCTAGAGGGAGTGGGGTAAAATGACACAAAAAGGTAAGGATAGTATTAGACTAATGACAGTTGCAGAAGAGGAATCAGTTAGGAGCTATTAACAGTTTAATTGATACGCTTTTATGAAGAAGTGGGTTTTTAACGATTTTTTGAAGGAGTGGAGACTGGGTGAGCATCTAACAGGAGGAGGGAAGCGAGTTCCACAGGAACGGTGCAGCCCTTGAGAAATCTTGAAGGCGAGCATCAGAGGTGGGAGTACGGACAGAAGATAGACGTAAGTCTTCAGCAGATCGTAAGGGCCTAGACGGGACATACTTGTGTATAAGGGAGGATAGATAGGTGGGAGCAGCATTATGTAGAAATTTGAAAGCAAGAACCAGATGAACTATAAGTCATTCTACTGAACCATGTGCACGTCTAAATGCACTAGAACTTTTTAGGTGGTTTAAACCACTATTGATATTTGTATTTCTTTGCATAAGTTCCACCAGACACATATTTTATTTATTGTTCACATAGCCACAACTTGACTATTTTCATCTCGATTTTGCAGTTTAACTTTAATTTGTGAAAATTCTGAGTTTAATGAATACACAAAACTATTTTTCTTTATCCTTTTTTTTCTTTATTAGAGAGTTGGCTAATATTTTTTGCTAAAGAAGCCTTTAAGCTATGCGGAAAACTCTCAAGACTTTTTTTACATTTCTGAGTTGGCTATTGCTGAGTTGGTCATCAGTGAGTAATTTTAAACACCATAAAAATCTATTCTCATGGGTTATAGTTCAAGAAGGTCTCTTAAGCCTAAATCTCGCTCCATTTGTACAGTATCTTAAAACTGCAGCGATTTAAAAAAAGGTTTCTGTAGTTACCTATTCCCCTCCCCCACCCCCTGACATCAAAGGAGAAAGGTATACTACTATACTTGTCATGTTTTCTCACATCATCTACTAAATAATCTGCTGTAGACATACATTTTACATATCTGGTTTCAGTTAGGGATGCAGTCTAGACGTGTTACTTGTTACAAAGTTTTAGGATTATCAAGGGATAAGAAAAAATTCCCAAATGTTTCAGTTTCCATGTTTTGTGCATCTATATTGGAGATATGCAGTCCCAGACACCTTCGCAACACTCTGATCTACAGTTTACAAAACACTCAGCCACCCCCAAGGTATTATGTAAATTATAGTCCACTGCAGTTGGAATATCAGGGATTTCTATAACCATGTACTACTTGCAATGCATATTGCTCTATGGAGTCTTTAACTTACTTTTGGCTTGCAAAGTCTGTTCCTGAGGAGGTCTGTGAGCTGCTTGCTTTGTACTGAAGATTCAGGGTTATGTCACCAGATGCAGCTTTGTTCACATCCGAAGAGTACAATTGCTCAGAGAGAGATGTAATTTCAGCATTGGTGGCCGAAAATACAGTAGCAACGTTATTTGCTTCTACTGGGAAAGGGTGGAACAAATGTAACAAAAATAAGTTGCCAAAAAAATAATAAATTCTGTGAAGGAAAATGATAACATTCTTATATTGTATTCCCTGGTTTCTCAACCTTTTTGGTGTACCTTTAGTAATATATAACTGAATCCAAGTACCCCTAATATGAAAAGTCAATTCAACAGGTATCTTATATAATTACAGCCCTTGTAACGTCCATTTAACCTCTGAAAATAATTGCGTTTTGAATTATAATCTAAAAATTTTTTTTTCAAAATAACATGGGCTGAGACAATAGGTCCTCCCCCCTTTTGTCACTTGGGGCCCCCACCGGCCGCTATATGGCATCCTAGTACTGTGGGAATTAGGAAACTATCTACTAAGCACCTGCAAGATGCAACCGCGGCACTGACTGGATCTGAATTTTTTATTCACGCAAATGAAATTCCAAACCGAACAAAAAGTACCGAATGTCTTCCTAACATGAATTGACAAAATGTACTCATTCTGCTAGTATGAAATTCTGCAGTTTCACCAGCACACAGACAGGACGTTCGAACGGCAAATGATGCAACAACGCAAGATCACGGAGGAGAGGGTGAGTATTGTGGGAAATTTTCTTTGACCACAGGAAATGGATGAAATGGAAGCTCCTCCTTTGGTCAAAGATGGTCAGGCATAGGAAAAATCCACAAGACAAAATAGTCCCTACTTTGTCTTATGCTTTAAAGAAAACGAAATCAGAACTACTTCACCTCCTGAGCTGAGAGGCATTTTTGATCATTGAAAAGGCTTAGACACTTTTATATTATACTTTTTATGATCTAAGTATGTTATTTTATCATTAATAAATGTTAAGTTTTAATTTAGTAAAGAATCGTGTTACCCCGTGCTCCCTTCTTTTTTTGTTAGATTGTACTAACTACACTATTTTTTGTTTGTTTTTAATTTGCAATCAGGGGTTACCCTCCTTTTTCTCTATGTTTTTAATAGGATTGTATATATCAACATATTTCAAATCAGTGTGATTTAACAGACTATTAAATTCGTACAGAGTAATTTAGTAAAGTGAGAATTCAAAGTGAGTTCAAGGAGAATTTCAGATTTAAGGCCAGTGTAGCCAAACTGAAAGGATAACTGATTTAAAGATTGTTTTCCAGCACAGCTATTTTGACCTTAAATTGAAAATTCACCTTGAATTTTTATTTTAGTGAATAAACGTGTAGATCTAGTTTTCTTTCTCTTTTGTTTAAATACTCTTTTATTATTGAGTATTTTAGGTGTAATATTTGAAAGTAAAAATTCTTCTGTTATTCTAGACAAGTATTTTCATTTGCTGATAATTACATTTCTCCTCTTGTAAGCCTGCCCGGTTCAAAATGCCACAAGTTTTCTTTCATCCTTTTAAGTGGATAAAATGCCAGGTGGATTAAAGAGGTACAATTTCCAAAAACCAGATCCCAATACTTGTAGGGTAAGGTACGGATTAACTCCTTATAGACCAAATGTTACACTTTGCCTTTATCATAATCTGATTCCTTTAGACTAAATGCAGGCATTAGGCTCATTCATCATCAACATCTCTATACGACCCTGCAGTCCTTCACTGGGTGGGTGATTTCATTTATGTAATAGGATTTCAGAACAGATTGATATAGCTTCATAGAGAGTCACTGGTCCTTAAGGTGTTACTTCTATGAACAGAGATGTTATCAAACTCAAAAGGTAAATGGCAATTTTTTTAAATAAAATTTTTAATGCATTGCCAGGAATTATCATTTAAAACACTCTATCTATGTATCTGTCTCTCTATATATACATACACTTCTTGAACCAACATACACTTTGAAGAGTAAAAAAATTCAGATGCACATAGGATTAATGTCAAACTTACTCAGACCTTTACTCTTATACATGTTATATACACCTCTAATCAAATTTTCTGATTAGTTTTAATGAATTGCCAGACGGGAATCCCAGTTTTAACTGTGACTCTTTAACTCGTGGTTAGCTTGTGGCACACCGGTATGCCAAGGCACCCATGTTGAAAAGCGCTGCTCTACAGGTTATATAATGGAGCAAATGGTATAACAGTGTTCATACCAGAAATAAAACGTTCTCTTTAATCCATATTCTATGCAATGTATACATTAAAACCTATAAAGAATAGACATTGTATCTTACTTGGTACAGGCACGTGAGCCCCATATATCATACAGGGTAACAGCCACAGGGCAAAAAATGATGTCTTCATGTTGACGTTTCTCCCCACGATCAGTGTATCTTTTTGCAGCAAAGTTGTTATATATAAGCATGCTGAAGGGGTGGTACAAGCTGGAGTTCAAACAGTTTCTCATTGAACTGAGTGAACCAAATCCTTTCTTGCATGTTGGCTGATAACACATTTGTGTACCTGTGTTTTTTCTTTCTTGTATTCATATATAACATGTCGAACGTTTACAAAATGAATATAGATTAATAATCATTTTATGAAATTTTATTGAATAAATTCAAATATTTTAAAGCAATAATTGGTATTAAATGGCAACAGCTCAGAAATATCCTGGGTGCTCAAATATTATTATAAACAGACATTATAATAAACACTGAAAACAGAGTTTCTACAAACTAAAGGGACACTATAGTCACCAGGACAACTACAGTTTAATGTAATTGTTCTGGTGAGTATAGTGTGTCCCCTGCATGCTTTTTAATGTAAACTGTGCCTTTTCAGAGAATAGTCAGCATTTACACTACAGCCTAGGAACATCTCTAGTGGCAGTTACTCAGACGGCCACTAGAGGTGCAGACTGGGTTAGTGCTGCACAATGTGTGGCACTGACGTTCAGTGTCTCCACACTCCGCATGGAGACGCTAAACACTCCTCATAGAGATGCACTGGTTCACTGCATCTTTATGAGAAGATGCTGATTGGCACAGTGCGGAATTTTGCCGTGCAAGGGCAGTAGACACAACCGCCTTCCCCCCCCCCTCCCCTCCCACAATGCTTTCCTATGGGAAAGCATTGGATTGGCTTTAATCATCAAATTTGATGATCTCAACCAAGGAGGTGGAGGGGGGGCAGGGCCATTTGTGAGGATTGACATCATGCTGGAAGTAATGTGAGTAAATCACCTTTTTAACAAGGGGAGAAGGTAAAGACAGATGACTTAAATGGCTATTTGAAACCTATAGTGTCAGGAATACATGCAGCTCATCTGCCCGCATGTCAGTATCTGCTTCCCTCATCTAACACCACATGTTTCTGTTTCCTCAATATAAAAATTGTGTTTCTTAAATCTGTCTATTGTCTGTTCATGAACTGCTAAAACTCTATTTCATTCCCTCATGATCTCCTGTGTTCCATCCTTCTTAATACAACCTTCTACTCAACTCAAATTCATTACCTCATTTTCTCCTGTCTTCTCTAGATCACTCCATCATTATCTCTCATCCTGATGACTGTAACTTTCTTCTGGTGTCTTTCTTGACAACCAGTTGACTTAAACCCCCTCAATTTACATTGCTATCATCCAGTTTATCTTCCTCGTCCATTACTCCTGTTCTGCTTTGAAAAGTCCTTTTCGTGTCATGAAGAATTCTGATTTTACTGCACACTACAACATAAGCCAACAAAAGTTCTACATAGTCCTACATCGCTGTTTTAAATTCTAAGCGTTCTCTAAATTAGTTTCTCTCTTCTCAAGCTACAGCTTCACAGGTTTGGCATGAAATCATCCATCTCTTGCTTACAGGTAAATTCCCAAACGCCATAATTTACCTACAATTCACTACTGCATAGTCTTCCACTTGTTTCTTCTGTCCTCACCTTCAATCACTCCCTTAAAACATATAATCATGCCACTATCACAAACTCTTGTATGTATCCAATATCTACATCTGGTCAACATTTGTTCTTGAATTTGTATTTTACGCAACCTAAGGTGCATGCTGAATTTCACATTGCCTTTTAGAATGTAAGCTTTGAGACAGAACAATCAAGCTTATTGTGTAAGTATGTATCAGTTACAGAATTTACTACATAATCTGAAGCTAAAGAATCTGTTGAATGCTGAACTCCCTTATAGATCCTAGTCATGTGAGATATTCTATCCTATTAAAAATATCGATTAGCAGCTATATACATTACTGCAATGAATGGATGCACCTGACCGGGAATAATGCTTGGATACTAAGTACCATTCAAGCATTCTTCCACTTTCATTAGGAAGCAACCAACTGTTTTCCACGTAAGCACATTGCACACCATCACAAGGATATATTTTGTCTCAAGCCAGCAAGCTCTAGAAGGCAATATCCAGAAGACAAGTAAAAAGATGGGAATAGCTGGATGGAGCCATGCTTGTGAATGGATTTGCATGTTGGTCTTGCAACCTTTAAGTAGATGGTGAAGAGAGGCATGGCTAGGGGCTTACCTCCCAAGCTCCCTACTTAGTAGGGACGGCCCCTATTGTGAGTCCAAATCCCTCTGTACCTATTTTCTATTCTAATGTCCCTCTTTTCTGAAGACACACTGTCACTTTGCAGGTTTTGCCTTTATCTTAATCTATTTTAACACCCCTATTTTCCCTTGTTTTTATTTTTTAATTCACCTTATATACTAGTGACACATAAGAAAAAATAGAGACTGCTCTTTTCTTATGGAGAGTGACATTTTAGAGTGGCCTTTTATTGTGGCCAGCCTAAGGCACACCTGTGCAATAATCATGCTGTCTAATCAGCATCTTGATGTGCCACACCTGTGAGGTGGATGGATTATCTCCTCAAAGGAGAAGTGCTCACTAACACAGATTTAGACAGATTTGTGAAAAAAATTTGAGAGAAATAGGCCTTTTGTGTACATAGAAAAAGTCTTAGATCTTTGAGTTCAGCATATAAAAAATGGGGGTAAAAACAAAAGAGTTGCGTTTATAATTTTTTTTTGTTCAGTGTATATATATATATATATATACACACACACATCATAATTCATATATATGTTCCTAACAGCCCAACAGAAATACCAGAGAATTTAATTTGCAATCCCTATATTTGACCCTGTAACTTACCAAAGCACCATAGAACTAGCACATGGGGGCATCGTTGCATTCATGGGACATCACAGTATGCAAATATGTATGTTTTTTTTGCAGTAGAAGTTAACAGTATTATAAAACTCACAGTTAAAATGCAATGCAGAACTTGTAAAATAACATTTCTTACACTTTTTTTTAGATTTCATATATATATATGTGAAATAAAAGCCCTATTTCTCTTCAGCAAAATAATATATAATAAGTGTAGGTAAATTATGATTTAACAGACATATAGAATACAAAGCTGAAACAGTAGAAAACACACCCTAATCAAATATAAAGGGAGACCAATGGTGCAGACTAAAAAATAAAAAAACATCAAACCATAAAAAATATAATAAAAAAAATACACTCACAAACAAAGATATTAGTAGGCAGGATATAAATAGTCTTCTTAAAGTGCTTCGTCTCTTCTTAGTGTAGAAAATGCTTAAAACAGAGCACAAAGACAGACCATAGTGTGTAACTGTATAATATTAAAAATGTAACTTTTATTGGATACACTTACAAAGTGATAGTAGTTATCAGGCTCTTCACATCATATATCAAAGTCTTCCATCAAAATAATAACCCTCAGGATACACAGAAGAGTGGAGACAGAGAAGATGGAGAGGTCCACAGTAAAAACAATGAATAAAAGCTTGCCACCCTACGCGTTTGTCAAAATGACTTTGACAAACGCGTAGGGTGGCAAGCTTTTATTCATTGTTTTTACTGTGGACCTCTCCATCTTCTCTGTCTCCACTCTTCTGTGTATCCTGAGGGTTATTATTTTGATGGAAGACTTTGATATATGATGTGAAGAGCCTGATAACTACTATCACTTTGTAAGTGTATCCAATAAAAGTTACATTTTTAATATTATACAGTTACACACTATGGTCTGTCTTTGTGCTCTGTTTTAAGCATTTTCTACACTAAGAAGAGACGAAGCACTTTAAGAAGACTATTTATATCCTGCCTACTAATATCATTGTTTGTGAGTGTATTTTTTTTATTATATTTTTTATGGTTTGATGTTTTTTTATTTTTTAGTCTGCACCATTGGTCTCCCTTTATATTTGATTAGGGTGTGTTTTCTACTGTTTTATATTTATATTGAAGACCTTGAGGAGTCTTTTACACATCCCTACTAGGGGTAATTATTTTTAAAAAAGTTTTTCCCCGTTTGATAGCCACAAGGGTTATTCTATAGTGTTTGTGATTCACTATATTCCGTTTGTATAGAATACAAAGCTGGACAGATGCATCTGCCCTTAAGGGGTTAAAAACGACCAAAACATTTCACAAACCCTTGAGGCCCTATCATGGTGTAAATTAGTAGCTGTTTACACTTGAGCTACATTCACACAGGTCCAACTTAAATTGAAGGCCTTCATTAATTTCGATAGTAGATAAGGCTGTCAGAAACACCTGTCAGAGATCAGTAATGTCAGGGGCTCAAATAAGTCTAAGGATAGATTCTGTATACATCGATTGCTTGACCTGTGAATATTGTTTGCTCTCCTTTTTTTTAAAATTTTTTTATAATTTTTCATGAGTGTAATCAGCGTTTAAGGTTATAATAAGAGATAGAGTTATCAACATGGCATACAGTCTGGTTAAGTAAGTACTAATCTAAAGTAGTGTTAAAGGGACACTATAGACACCCAGACCACTTTTTCTCAATGATGTACTCTGGGTGCCATGTCCCCCTCATTTTAATCTTGCTATGTAAAATTTTCCCATTCTGGCAATGTTAACAGAACTGAGTTTAAATCCCTCTAGTTGTTGCCCCTTTGTCCCCTTCCTTCGAAACAGCTGAGTAAAACTAGAGCCCTTCTGATTAGCACAGCACGGCATTTTGCCACACATGCACACTAGCCTCCCTATCCTTTTACTATGTGAAATCATACAAAGTCTGCACTTTGGTCACTTTTTCCAATAAGGATCATGTTCAGTGATTGAGGAAAATCCCTGAACTATTTTTGCAAAGCAATACCCCAAACACACAAATGAACTAAAGTAATAACAATTCATCCCTTTAGGAAGTATATCAAACACTTTTTTTTAATGTATTGCACAAATTTGTAAACGTTTTAAAACCCCTGTCTGCCCCCTTCTGCAAAAACCCTGCATTCCCTTTCCACAAATCCCCTGCTCAGCCCCCCTTATATAAGACCCCTTTCATCTTCTACAAAATCCCTGCACCCCCACACACACAGTTACAGACAGACAGTTGCATGCATAGAGTCACACACAGTTACAGGCAAACAATCAAACACAGTTACAGGCATACAGGTACATACAGTTACAGGCATGCAATCACGCACAGTTACAGACAGACAGTCACACACACACACAGTCAGAGACAGACAGTCACACACACACAGTTACAGTGTGATAAGGTGAATGGGGTGGTCTGTGAGGGAGTTTATATTTCATCTACATTGTTCAGAGAGGCATATGATCTTTAACCCCAGGGGGAATGTATGTATGTATGTAGATGACTTGAATGCATATTTAGTTATGGGCCCCTGTGGTGGAGCATTTGGAGAGAAGGGTGGGCCAGTGCTCCACTCCACTATTTACTGTTTTTCTCTTGGGAGACTAGGTCCAGACCAGGCTTTGGACTGTCTCCAACCCACTGCTCAGCTGCAGGTAATCAGCTGCAGCAGTGGGAATAAATCCCTCCCGGCTAGGCAGGTAGAGGAGAATGTTTATTTCTCTCTGGAAGGGCTGGAAGCAGCAGGTCGTCAAAAACGCTGGAGTTCTGAGAGCTGAAAAAGACGCTAGGTTGGTGAAACCACTTCTTGTTTTGTTATAGATTAAACCCTTGAGAGAGAGGGAACTTGATGTCAGTTAGTGCTCAGACCGAGCTAGGTTTTTGTTTATAGTATTTTGTTACATTTTGTTTACATTTGCTGCTGTAGCTGTGGTGGAGTTTGACAATAAAACTGCCTGAATTATATGCAAACCAAAGGACTGTGCCTGTTGTTCACCCTAGAGGACCGTGCTACCTGCAGACAAGGATCACAACAGGTAGACATTCACACACACATAGTCTCATGCAAATAGTCCCACATACAGTCACAGACAGTAACACACACAGTTACAGGCAGACAGTAACACACACACAGTCACAGGCAGACAGTCACAGGCAGTCACACACACAGTTACAGGCAGGCTGTCATACACACAGAGTTAAAGGCACAGTCACACACACACACAGGCAGACAGACTCACACTCACAGTTACAGGCAGACAGTCACACACAGGTACAGGCAGACAGTCAGACATCCGCACAGTTACAGTCAGACAGTCAGACACATACACACACAGTTACAGGCAGTCACACAAACACACAGGGTTCAAGGAAGACAGTCAGACACACACAGTTACAGACACATACACAGTCAGACACATACACACACAGCTAAAGACAGACGGTCACACACACGCAGTTACTGGCAGACAGTCACACACACACACAATCACATGCAGACAGTCACACGCACACACACACACAGTTACTGGCATTCAGTGACACACACACTCACATGTGGACTGTCACACACACACACAGTTACAGGCAGTCACACACAGACAGACACACACACACACAGTCTCTTTCTCTCTCTCACTTACTTACTTACAGACATTGACTCTGCCCCCGCCACCAGATTGGCTCCGCCCCCACTTTCCTTTCATGCGGCATTGCTGGTCTCTGCTTGTTTGATTCGTTTTGCGACCCAGCTGCCATGGCAACCTGTGCGGCCATACAGCTCACATATGCCTGGCCCTGGCCATGACACCCCCCAAGTAGGTGGCACCCGGGGCAGACTGCCCACCCCGCCCCAGCCTCAGTACGCCATAATGTTGATGGTCTACAACTCACAGAGTTCTTTGAAGGCAATGGCCAGAGAAACATGGAAGTTATAGTTCAACAGAATCTGGGGAGCCAGTGTTTGAGATGCCTGTACCATGGTACAGGATACCCCAACATGCACTATGCTAGATACAGGAAGACAGAGGTATATTAGTAGCCATTTGGGTGGCTGGACTGAAAACAACCAGAGAGATAATAGCAAGAGAATAAACAGGCCAAGGAAGACAAGGAAGACAGAATAAAAAGCCATGTCAGTGATACCAGAGTTCAGAATTGTCAGGAAAAGCCGAGCTAATAACTAGATAAACTAAATTACTATTATTATTTTATTATTCATATAGCACCAGCAAATTCCGTAGCGCTTTGGGTGGACTAACAGACACATAATTGTAACCAGACAAATGGACGCACAGGAACAGAAGGGTTGAGGGCCCTGCTCAATGAGCTTACATGCTAGAGAGAATGGGGTATAGTGACACAAAAGGTATAAGTAGGGGTAATGAAATGGGTTGCTAGAAAAGTATTAACTGAGAACTTTATTTTGACAGTTGCAGGAGAGGAGTAATGGAGGGGAATGAAAACCCGCTAACAGTTTAATTTATATACTTTCCTGAAGAAGTATGTTTTCATAGATTTTTTTGAAGGAGTAGAGACTGAGTGAAAGTCTAAAGGAGAAGGGAAGGGAGTTCCACAGAAAAGGTGCAGCCCTGGAGAAATTTTGTAGGCGAGCATTAGAGGTGGGAGTATGGACACAGGATAGATGTAGGTCTTTGGCAGAGCACAGGGGCCTCAACGGGACATACTTGTGTATTAGGGAGGATAGGTAGGTTAGAGCAGCATTATGCTTGTAAGCAAGCACCAGAATCTTAAATTGAGCCCTATATCTAACTGGAAGCCAATGTAGGGACTGAGAGAGGGGGGAGGCGTGGGAGGTGTGGGCGGAAAGGAAAATGAGCCTCGCCGCCGCATTAATTATAGATTGCAGCGGTGCAATCTGAGAACACGTAAGACCACTGAGAAGGGGATTGCAATAGTTAAGGCAAGAAAGAACAAAGGCATGGACCAGCACCTTAGTCGCGTCTGCTGTTAAATAGGGGTGGATACGAGCTATGTTATTGAGATGGGAGCGGAAGGATTTGGCGATCGCCTGGACATGAGGGGTGAAGGAGAGGTCGGAGTCAAAGAGAACACCTAGGCAGCGAGCCTGCGAGGAACAGGTGATGGTGGAGCCATTGACTTGGAGGGAAACAGACATGGGAGTAGCAACACTTGAGGGAGGAAAGACCAGAAGTTCTGTTTTGGACAGGTTGAGTTTAAGGAAGTGAGCAGCCATCCAGTTGTAAATCGCAGAGAGGCAGTCAGAGACACGAGTCAAGATGGGCGGAGAGAGATCAGGAGAGGACAGGTAGATTTGCGTGTCATCTGCATATAAATGATAATGGCAGCCAAAGGAGCTGATGAGTTTACCAAGGGAGGCAGTATAGATGGAGAACAGTAGGGGACCAAGGACAGAACCTTGGGGAACGCCAACAGAGAGGAGTTGGGGAGAAGAGGCAGAGCCAGAGAAAGAAACACTTAAAAAGCATTGGGAGAGGTAGGAGGAGCACAAGGAGAGAACAGTATCTGTAAGACCTAGATTACGGAGAATGAGAAGAAGCTGTTGATAATTAACAGTGTCAAAAGGAGCAGGAAGATCAAGGAGAATTAGGATAGAGTAATTGCCGCAAGATTTAGCAGCGATTAAATTGTTGGATACTTTGGTCACAGCTGTTTCAACAGAGTGACAAGCGCGGAATCCAGACTAAAGTGGGTCAAGCAGAGAGTTGGATTCGAGGAAGTCTGTCAATCTCACATACACAACTCTCTCAAGGATCTTGGAGACAAACGGAAGTAGCGATATAGGGCGGTAGTTGGATAGGGAGTTGGGGTTAAGGTTGGGCTTTTTCAGAATTGGCGTTATGGTTGCATGCTTGAAGGGTAAAGGAAATGTGCCAGAGGAAAGGGAAAGATTGAAAATTTTAGTTAGATGAAGAGCAAGAAAATCTGCATGCTGGATCAATACAATCCTGACATAGTGTTTGCAGCTGTCATTTGGTGAGGGGATGGGGGGTGGGTGGGGTGGTGAGGGGATGGGTGGGTGGGCAACTGAGAACTGTTCTGGTTTCCAACAGGGATTTTTTTTCTCAGATTGTGGAAGACAGAGATGATAGGGTCAAAAAGGCCTGCAATAAAGCTATGGAATGAAGATGCACAGAGGAGGTGAGGATTGGTCAAGCAAGACATTCGTGTGGGTATCAATAAAATAAATGTGCGTTTGGGACAATAAGGAACCAGAACAGGGCTTGAAGGGTTTATATAGTGAGTTGCAAGGAATTAGCATCTTACATAATTTCCTCACTCTCAAAACATGTGCACACGTTGTCTCGGAACTGACAGGGCCGTTATAGAGTTATAAGAAGACAAAGGTTTGGAGCATCCAGTGTCATTTTTAGAGACGGAATGATGAGGTATTAAGAAAGAGGGTCCCCTACAAGAGATTAAACAGATGCTGACAGCGGATATTGCTGTAGTAAAAACTGAAATACAGGCTGTGACACCGAGTCTGAGCTAATGAAGAGGATAAATTTACCCAAGTCCAATCCTCTCACCACACCCCTTTAAAAACTCTAAACTCTTATTTTTTCATGATCTCACCAGAGACACACTCCAGTGGTGCAGGTCTATCAGCATAGTGACAAGCCAGGTCAGAGAATTGGTATTGACCTACCAATGGGGCTCCTCGGAGACTCTCCTTGTGACTAAATGTGGAACTGTATTCAGAATTTCGTCTGTTATAGAAGCTCCAGCATTTCTCAGAGCTCTGGGTCTCCACCCACCGACTGCCAACGAAGCTCAGCCACACATTTCACAAACAAGGGATCCTGACATAGTTGTCCCTTTTGTTCCACAAAGTACCACTTAGGCCAAGTTGGGAACCTGAGGGGAATGAAATGAGGGCACACTAGGGGTCCTAAGTGTTAAATGCTTACCAGCACATATTGTCTGCTTTTATTTACTTTATTGTGTTTAAGTAATCACCAGTTTCTTTATTCATTAATATTGAGTGCTCTTGCATTAGACATATTATTTTCTGTACAAAGATGTACAACTTTAGTCCGCTGTACCCACCACGATTCAGGAGATTCCCTCTCCCTCCCGACGCCCCCTTGGTCATGGACAATACATATGCTTCACTGAGCTTAGCCTGGCATACCATAATTAAGCTTAATTTCTTAATATGTATCTACCCAGGAACACCTAACAACTATTCTGTCTAGCTCAGATGGCACACAAACATTGTCCATGCCTGTTATGCCTCCACCTGCATATCTTTCCAATAACCCTACTCAACCCCCTCCTCTCACAAAATATTTTACTGATAATTCAACTTATTGTTTCTGACACCAGGTGGAGGTGAACATTTTCGAGTTAATGCTGCCCCTCTACATAACTCTAGTATTCCGAGCCTTCCCCACATTCTACCAGGCAGCAGCCGCCACAGTGGTTTTTAGGCTTAGCTTTGACACGTCATAATGTTTTGTTTCCATGTGTAATACACAAATGTTGCTGTACTCCATATCATCTTATACCTCAATAAAAAACAGAAAGATAAAAAAAAATAAAAATAAAGGGGGTCAGAGTCTATATTGAGACCAGAATGGTCTAGATATAAGAAGAGGTGATCTACTTCAATATTGACACCAGAATGGCACGGGTATGAACAGGAGAGGCGATGTACTCAATTTTAAGGAAATAATGATGCTGGTATGAGGAAATGCCTCTGATAGCCACAGCTAATCATATAACCTGTTCTTAGGTTTTTCTTGAGGATTGCCTTTATAAGCACCTAAGATGGTCTAAAATATTCTACTTTCTGCTGTGTTTGAATGATGATTGAAGGCTTTGTGGGCTTGTATCTCAAAATGAAAGTGAAATTTAGAGAATATGATATTGCATATCCCGTGTCTTGAACTTAGAACTGTGTGTGTCTAACCTCCCTCTAAAACTGCACTTAGAAGCTTTATGTAAAACCATCCCTACATGAATTTATAAACTATAAACTACATTTGCAAATCATACAATCTATCTTCACAAGCCGATACAGAAAAACATGCAAAGAGACAAGCGCATGAGATGTCCTGTGGCCATCCTATGGATCATGGTTCAAAAAGAATTAATGAACTGTACAATGTGCCTGCAACAGAAACAATTCTCCTATGTGCAATGGACTGGTGGCATAGATGTTCCTCCAGTTTAACACAATAAAGTTAGGAATACAAATCTGTCATTGTCCCCAATTAGATTCAGTCCTCATTTTGCTGTGTAAAAACCTGTTTAAAACATAATTTTAACCTTACCTTTTTCCAACTATGAGACTCCCTCAGTGCTGCCAATCCCCCTCCTGCTATGTCATCGAAGAGGCATTAATTTATCATCAATGGTCCAATCCAATGCTCCTCAAAGAGGGGCCTGATGCTCAAATGAGACGAGCATTGTGTACACATCCAATAAAATGCTTCTCATTGGAAAGCATTGAAGTCAATGCTTTACTATCAGCTGCATTTGATGATGTTCAACATCTTTATAGATAACGCAAATCATGTGACTCAGTAGAACTTAGTTGTTACAGTGGCTTTCTAGTGGCTGTCAAGGCTTTACATTACAGTGAGATGAAATGGTCTGGTGACTTTTGTGGTCCTTTAATCATGGCACAGTTCAGCAAATACTTAGTGTAGTCCCACAGCTACATATGTTATTTACATTGTATTCTATGGGAAGGGAGGAGCTAAAACTCTCCCTGCAGCCCTATTCTCTAGGTCATTCCCCCTCACCAGTGGGGAAGGGAGGTCAGGAAGAGGGGGCGGCATAGACAAAGGGTGTGCAACAATTGGCTGTCTGACATCAGCATGCTGTGCGTGCTGGCATTAGACACCATATTTGCACAAAATTCACATTAGCCATCCATAACTCTTATTCCGGTGCTGGCTCATAATGTCTCTTTTATGGCACTAGAGGTAGAGTTACACCTCTGGCAGCAGTGTGGTTAAACGCTGTATGTACAGCATTTCATGGCAAAACACTGCACATCCTCTATCAGATCACAATCTGCTGACCTTTGACATTGGAATATCATGTACCCAAAATATACCACCCTTGGTACATCAGCATCAGTCTTGTAGAAACCTCCACTCTCTTGACCTATAGCATTTTTCCACCAACCTCCAAATACTTATTTTATCTGTCTCAAATCTTCTTTTATCTATCTCTATTCTCCTGCCCTAGATGTGCAACCTCCCTCTACAACTCCACCATATCCTTCCAACTAGATATTGTAGTAGATGATTTACTGCAAACCAATTAGTTTGAATGACTATCTGTTCCTGTCCAAATTAAAGATAATAAAGTTGCGTGCACGCAGAAGTAAATTCACACTGAGACACAGAGTTCAGGTTAATGAAAGAACTTTGGAGAAGTTTAATGGCTTCTGATTAAAAAGCAGGCTCGCAGGCCCTTTTAAAGGCATTATTACATCATTGAAGAAAATCAAGATATAGACAAATAGACATTGTTAATTGGCTTAGGTGCTAAGTAGTTAGTAAAATGCCCTCCCTACGGGGTGTACCATCTTAGGTCACTATCCTCGTCATGATTGTCTCCTCCAGGTTTTAGCGCCATTTTGTTAACATGAGGAGCTCACTCGACGGGAGGGGCCTTTTGGCAGCTATCCATTTAGAGTGTAGCCTGGCACTGTTAGTCTCAAGGTTAGGTTTCAAGGCTTTTAGTAAATACACATTTTATCAAAGCTATTTCTTGCTGACATGCAAATTCTATGTTCTATAGACAAAGCTTTCTTGTAAAACTATGGGGCCTCTTAGAGGTATAGCAAGAGGATTTAAAGGGGCCTTACAGACTTATAGAGGCCTAATAATTCTACAACAGTCCCCCCTTAAAATGTTATTTGCTAAAAGACAAAACTTCATTTGTTAGTATCAGAAGATGTGTTAGCCCAAAGACACAGAAACCCCATGACCGCTGACTTAGTGTTAATGCAAAGTGCAAGTCTATCCCTCTCTTGACCCTAACAGGCTGCAGCACATCCGTCAGTACGGTTCAGGAACACTCTTCACTCCGCTGGTAACCCATAGTGGCTTATCCACTACTTCTCCGTACGGCAGTCTACCCATAAGAGACGGACGCTGTCCCTGTACTGTCCCTTCCTGGACTTTCTGCACTTCATCAGTATAAGGGAGAATTTGTAGCGGAATACAGGGTGAGGTGAGATCTTGATCATCGATTGTCAGATGAGTGAGAGTTAGTGTCGCTTGGTCTGTAGTCTTCTGTAAGAATTTTCTAAAGCATGGGAGGACACAACAAACGAGAAGAGCGAGAACAAAAAGGAAAATTAGTACAGCCATACCAATATGGACTAAAGCTTTCCACCAACTTGACATCCAACCAAACCACCTTTCCCAGGGATCTGTTACCCCAGAATTCCTTTTCAACTCTTCTGAGAGTTTCTCTAACTTCGCTATGGCCATAGTGACTTTACCATTTGGACCTGTGTTTTCTGGGATATAAGTGCAACAAGTCATGGTGTCAGGTAGTATTTTACATACACCCCCCTTTTCAGCTAGAATCATGTCTAAGGCCATCTGGGATGTGGCCTGCAACTGCTCGGCCAGGCCCTGGAGGGCATCCCTGGTGTAGTTGACAAAACGCTGTTGGTTGTAATAAATGTAGTTAATCCAATTAAGGTTTTTGTTGGCAGTGACTATGGTAAAAAGTGATTCAAATCCTACAGCTACTTCATCTCTAGCTTTAAATTCATTAGGCACCCCCCTAGGTATCCCAACGGCATCTATGTAAATGTGGGGGTCAAAACTGCCTTTTACTGGGGTTTCGCGCTTCACTCTGGCTGGTGTATGTGGAGCGTCGTATGTGTCATGATGATTATCAGAAATAATATGAATGGGCATGATAACTTTGGCTAGGGTACACTCACCACACCACTCAGTTTCCAGCCTAGATCTTAACTGTAGATCCCCACATAACCAGTAAATATCCCCCAATGACCTGGTGTGATGTTGCAACAGACGTATGGGGACAGTTCTGTAAGTGGCACAATAACCTTTAGAAAAATTACCCATGAATTTACCAATCCCGTCATACATGGCATAACAAGTGTAATTACCTCTATAGACTGTGATTCCATCTGGTGGCTTAACATTTTCAACTAAGAGAGGGTATTCTGCCGTCCATGCCATGCAGAGGGACCTATCAAAGTCATATTGGTAGGCAAAAAGGCTTAAGAAGCAATCTTCTATCTCTAAAGGGAGAGTTAGGGGGACGGTGCCAAGGTGGGGTCGGGCACCGCCACATACATAACATGCTGTTTTATTATGTTTGTTGGCATTATACCTCATACATTCTAACCACAAATTTATGTCATTGAATCCAGTTTCAGCGGCCATGGTATCTTCAAAAGTGGGGTTAGCGATGGCCATCATATCTTTAAAGGACTGGATATGTGGTTTTAGCGGATTTGGGACCATATGATCAGCCCCTTGCCACTCTGGAGAGTGGTACATATCTCTGAGGTAGAAATGACCTAATTTGTTGTAGGAACCTTTCTTCCAATACATTCCCATTACATATCGGTCTGCATCCTCGAGGCCAGGATGTTCAATATTTAACATTAATTTCATAGGGGTACTTCCTCCAGGCTTTCTTAAAGTCATTCTTTGAAGGAGGGATCTACCCTGATTGTCTATCTTAGATAAAGCACTTTTGGGTTTATAACCCCAGGCAGGCCCAGTATTCCATCCCGCAGCCCCCCAGTAGTTACAGTCATAACCCCATTGTTCATCTACTACACAAGCGTAAGGGTCTTTTGCTTGTGGTATATCTTTATAAATGGCTTGAATCTGTGACTTAGGGAATGGGCATTCTACAATATCACAGTAATCAAAGGTGAATGTAGCCACGTGGGTACATGATGAATTATACCAGAAAGTGTACCCACTAGCATCCTTGGTGATGGCCACCTGCTGGGCTTTAAGGAGGCCAACTAAGGAGATAATGTACCAGAGGCACATGGTTGCATAGAGTTAGCTTCCTCTGGGGCAGGTGTCTTCTTGCAATGGGAAGCGTGGATCCAGTTAGGCCTTCCGGCCAATTTGACAGAGGTAGGGGAGATCAGGAGAACTTGGAACGGTCCGTCAAATCTTGGTTCCAGGGTGTGTTTTCGCACAAATTTCTTGACCAGAACCCAGTCACCGGGGAGCAGACTGTGGTTGCCTGTGTCAGAATCAGGATCTGGAATTGAAGAGAAAACTTGGGCATGGATTTTGTTTAAAGCATTGGCAAGTTCAGTTACATAATCTACTAAAACATCAGTTTGAAGTTGTAGTTGTTGGGGAAAATAGCAACCTAGCCTAGGTGCAGTCCCAAATAGAATCTCATATGGGGACAGTGAGGTAGTATTTTTGTACAAGAGCATTCATTAGATCCTTTGATAAATGTGCAGGTCCGTGTGCCCATTGTACGACTGCTGGGTACAAATTCTTAGGGAGGCAGAACTTGAGGTTGTTGGAGTACACTCCATCCTTCAGAACTGCCCCTTTCTGTTTCCATTTTTGTATTTCTTCAGGAGCAACTGCAGCCTGTTGTTCCCGTAGGATTTTTAGATCAGTTGGAAGTGTCTGCAAGGTAAATGTGGGAGTTTCTTCGTTTCCGGACACACTTCTGTCCACTTCCTGTAGTTCTCTTGCAGCTTGTTTTGCAGCTTGATCAGCCAGATGGTTGCCCCTTGCTTCATCCGAATCCAACTTCCCATGTGCCTTTACCTTCAGAATGGCCACTTCTTCTGGGAGTAGGAGGGCATCCATCAGCTCCTTGATTGTAGAACTGTGCTTGACTGGTGTACCGGCAGTGGAAAGAAATCCTCTTGTTTTCCAAATTAATCCGAAGTCATGAGCCACGCCCAATGCATATCTTGAATCTGTGTAGATATTGGCGCGCTTTTCTTCAGATATCTTGCATGCTGAAGTTAGGGCTTGTAATTCAGCTTCCTGCGCAGACATTGTTGATGGTAGAGATGATGACTTGATAATTTCATCTGTTGTGGTCACGGCATATCCTGTGTGATATTTTCCTTCTTCATCTGTTCAAAACAGTTATGAGGCGTTTCTGGATCATAGTCGTGCTTTATGACCAGATCTTCAAATTCCTCTTCCAGAAAGTACCGTGGCCATGCTTTTACATGTTCAGTTGTTGGGTACTTGACAACGCCTTTTTCTTGGAGCCGTAGTAGCTACCCCCCCCTCAGGGAGTGGCAGAAGAGTGGACGGATTCATAACCTGACATCTTGGAAGGGTAACATTGTCAGGTAGCAGGAGATGACATTGGAGACGAAGGTGCTTGGCAGGGGTGACATGTTTGAGTTGGACCTGGTTAAGTATGGCAGAAATATCATGAGGTGCCAAAACAGCCAGGGGGTGGCCAAGGACAAGATCTCCAGTTCTTTCAATGAGCTCTTTGGGTGCAGCGGCCTCCAGGACCATGGGCCTGAGTGAGTACTCCTGTTGCATGGCCTTGTCTTTCAGAAACAAACAATTTGAAGGGTTTGGTATAGTCTGGTAGGCCAAGAGCAGGAGCAGAAGCAATAGCACGTTTAAGAGTACAGAAGTTGTCAAGGGCTTCTGTGGACAAGCAAAATGGGTCTGACTTGAGAGCATCATAGAGAGGTTGCATAAGGAGTGAGGCTTCTGGGATCCATGCTCGGCAATAGGAAATGAGGCCTAGAAAGGCGTGGAGGGATTTAGGAGTTTTTGGAGGCGGAATGGCCAGAACTACTCCGACACGATCACGGGTGAGGTGTCTGGTGCCATGGGACAGGCAATGGCCTAGAAAGATTACTGTGGCCTGGCAAAATTGAAGTTTGACAAGAGATGCCTTACACCCCTGATCTGCAAGATAACAAAGGAGGTCCAGAGAACATTTTCCTGTCGTGGGGATGTCATCTCCAAGTAAAATGGGAAGGGAACAAAGAACTGTAGTGTCTTTTCGTGACAAAGGTGTATTTAATTGAACCTGGCCGTCTGCAGTGAGGGTGATGGATGCTTGGAGGCGGGATAGGACATCAGCACCAACACAAGAGACATCGGTATCAGACAGGAACGATGAGTCAGGCGGGTCTTGTTCTCTAAGAACACTGCGGGCTGCACCTGTGTCAACCAGGAAAGTAGTAGGGTGACCTTCAATAGGTAAAGTTACAGTTGCTAGTGGCCCCCCTTGTTCCCTGTAGACACTGCCATGGCAGGGGCATTAAGCATCAGTGGGTTCTATCATTATAAATAATGGTTAATAGTAAGTGAAGTAAAGTTCCTATATGTCTTTGGGTAAAACATTAACTATTGCGGTACTATCATTTATATTAGTTAGACTATAACAATTATACCACCCTGTAACTAAAATTAATAACCAGAAGTGGCTGGGTTAATAAAACATGTCACTAATCCTTCTAATGCTAAACCATCATTTAACGTAAAGGATGTTACTGTAAACTTACGATCTGTAACTAGCAAGATTCGATTAAGCAAAGATACAATGTTTAAAATAACTTGCATTATTTGGCTATTTCCCTTGTTGCAAGATTAATCTGGATAATCAGCTGTTATGCTCTTATATTCGTGTCCAACAGATCTAATTTGTAGGTCACACCACAGTTGCAAATGACATTTTAGCAACCTTTGTTTTTTTTTTTTTACGGAAAAATTTCTGATACAGGGAAACAAATGGCATGATTGTTTCAGTAATTATAATGTTTCTGTTCATAATATGTAGAGTGTAAGGAAAACAACATGTCTCTAAATAGGACGCGCATAATAGGGGTAGGCCTCATGATGGAGGCAGCCAGGACAGGGGCGGGGAAGGAAATGACAGCAAGGGAGGAAGTGAGAGGGGTGACGTCCATGATATGTGTGGGAAAGGAAGACAGGAGGTGTGGGCATGGTAAGGGCGGAAGTGACGTCACTTTAGAAGCAACCGTGACTGTAGATAGGTCACGGGACTGGCAGGGTCAACCTCCTTCTGTACTAGGCGCCATCTTTAGGGTGGTGGCTGATGCACTTTCAACAATACACTATATTATAACTATTAAAATAAGTCAGAGAAGCAACATTCTGTTCTGCAAAATGAAATACTAAACTATGAACAGACCTGGCAGGTTAAATAAGACAGTTGAAAACATTATGCATTTAACAGCCCATACAGCTGTCTCTAGAAACATGTTCTTTAAAATGATGCAAGATAAACTCACGGAATTCAACCAATTTCCCTTATCATCCTCCAACCATTAATCACTTCTCTCTTCACATACTAGCTTAACAACTTCGCATATTCCCTCTATCCACATTGCATAGTTTTGCAACAAATCACGCTTGCCTTTACTCGTGCGGCCGAAGCCACCTCCCTCAACCTCGTAGTGTCCCTGTTGCGGACCCACCCGCAAGTCTCACTACCAGCAGCCACAGGAAACAGCAACAGCTTCCAACCCGAATCCTGTATAGCCTAAAGAATTGGAATCTTACCTGCCTCAGCGCTCGAGGCTGGAATTTTACCAAGAAGAAGTGTCCGATGAGGCTAGCTAAGCAGTCAAAGCGACACTATGGGGAACCCCCAGGAAGCAGTGAGTCTACACCACCCTCCACAGATTCCCCCTACTCTTTTTCCTTACAGCCACAGCTACGTGGCTCCTAAAAGAGTTAAACAGGCAATAGAGGACCCCCAGGAAAACTTCCACAGGTCCACCCCCCTTTTTCCTTACTACCACAGCCACGTGGTACCTAAAAGGAGTAAACAGGCACTCACACTCCCCGGGTACTAAGTTAAACACAAACCAATACAAACACACCCAGGCAACAGATAGTCAACATGCAGGTAAAATTAAGTATCATTAACAATACAAAGACTCTGGGCAAGTTATTACCTGACTTTGATGTCCTCTCGGCAGCAGTCACAGACACTGGGACAGGTCAATCACAGGGGTAGGAACATACCGGCTAGGTGCTGCAGCAGTCTCTACCGTGTATTCAGAGGTGATCAGGCTCTTTTCCTTCCCCCAGGATTCATCCCCCCAGCATCTTCTTGGACAGCTGCCCAGGCAGGACATAACCCAGAGCCCCACGTTTTGGGCGCCAACTGTAGTAGATGATTTACTGCAAACCAATTAGTTTGAATGACTATCTGTTCCTGTCCAAATTAAAGATAATAAAGTTGCGTGCACGCAGAAGTAAA